TGTAAAATACAGGAAGGCTCTGTCGTGGGATTTCAGCCAGTGGTGTTGGGGGATCTTGTCAAAACAATGGAATTATGCATGTATAAAAATACTGTGAAGTTTTCACCCACTGTGCCTCACTTATCTGAAGGCAACTGATTGACAAAAGCTAGAATTTTCCGCAAGACAGCCCCAAACATAGTACCAATGCAGTATAAGCATACCTGGATATGGAGACAAAACACTGAAGCACTGTGGGATCATCTTGACAGAGAATGAGATAAAAGGCAACATCCAAAGAAGAGCTTTGAATGTCCTTCAAAACACCTGAAGATCCATTTATAAAGACCACTTAAATAAATAACAATAAAGTTGCCTAATAGAGTGCTGAAGAATACCAACTATTGACTTTAAAAGCTCATTAGAACTGAACAAACCTTGTATCTTTGTATGCATTTCAATAAATCTCTGCATTTCCCAAGTTCCTGGTGAAATATAAAGAAATGTAAGGAGGCTTACACAGTACTGAATATGTGATCCGTGTGGCCCAAAAGCTTAGGCTCAGTGTGGGCATCCTTAATACTGTCATCCCAGGTAAACGACTAGATACCAGGTAAACAGCAGCACCATACATCTGCTACATAATGTTTTGTTTACAAAGAGCAGCAAACATAACAAAGGGCTTAAAGGTAAAGTGTCCTTAAAGTGACAGGAGCTAAAACTACTTTTTTCAGACAGCAGATGATGCAGAGCTCTCCACTGAGGTTCACTTCAACATAAATAAGGGCTTTTTAAACCATGTAAAGCTACCATAGGAGAGTCTAAAACTAAAAACATGGAGCTAAAAATCAGCGTAAGCTTATAAGATTGTACATCATACATTAGCTCCATGTGTGATATATAACTTTCTAAATGGTAGAAAGAATTCAGTTACAGTAACTTTAATATTATGTTGTTTATTGTCTGTTGCTTCTGTGGTAAACTGACCTTTTATCATCAAGATGATTTGCCCTTGAAGCATCTGTGCACAATAAGAAAAAAATGAACAGAGAATCGACATATCATGGTAAGGAAATCAGGAGCTTTAAATGAAAATGCGAGTGCAGTTTCTGTATTGTATTTTTGTTCTACCTGGTGTGATGTCAGTCACCCCTGGAATCTCTTCCAGGCCCCGAGGACGGACACAAGCAGCTGGACAGTAGCGCAGCTGCAGCATGAAGTCGTGGCTGTACTGACATTTCCCTACACAAGAAGAAGAAATCATCAAGCATCAATAGAAATTATGGAGAAAAGATACCACTGAAGAATGAGACATGTGCTATTGATCAATATTACTATAGTAACAGTGCACCTGACTTCACCTGACCTGATTTCTGTCTCTCAAATATCTCATTGGCATTAGTGTACTGGCAGCTGCCAGTGATTCCCAGAGAGCTGGGCCAAAGTGGAGCCAACAGCCTGTGGCAATCGGCCTTATATGACAGATCTTCTTGACCTGATACCTGTCAGTGAATACAGACACTCTTACTGAGGCATGAATAAATAAAAATCGAGACAGGGTGTTACTTAATTAGTTTATATTTTCTTACCATCCATGCTGGCAGGTTTTGGTAGTGGAGTTGGCTGGTAGTGATCAGCTGGTACAGAGGCATGTGTGGGACAGAGTTAAAGTCTCCACACATTATTACGTTACAGTGTTCACCTTTAGCCTTACAGGACTTGATCACGCTGTCAATTTCAGCCAGCAATATTGCTAACTGAGCCAACTTCACGTCCCCCCTCCTGGGGTTGAAAAGCAGGTGGGTGTTGGCTACACAGAGCGGCGAGCCCACCTCCTTCACTTGTGAACCCCGGTTGACCAGTGGCCAAAGAAGCAAAACAATGCCCACATTGTGCCGGTCTAACAGCTCCGTCTCAGGCTTGAAGAACTCCAGGTGAGTGGCAGCCACTTGAGAGAAGCTGCTACGAAAGCAAGTAGCACATCCATCTGTCTTGGTTCCTGTACGCCTCTTGTACACACAAGTGTAGCCTGGATCAACAACATGAACAGAATATGTGTAATGTCTTTGTCAAAACATCCCCCAACATGACTCTTCCACTGTTTTGTCTCAGCTGACCTACCCATCTGAGACAGGGCAGGATGCAGCTGTTCATGGTAGTGGTTCTCCTGAACCTCTTGAAGACACAAAATCTACACACAGAGTATTAGCAGACACCTAACATTAGACATAAGATTTTGCAGGTTAAATTTCAGAAACATGAATTTGACATGACTCACGTCTGGTAGCCATTGTTCTATTTCCTTTAAAAGCAGGTTACATCGGTAATGCCAATCCAGCACCTCCAGGGGGCAGTGTGTGTACAGTTGCTGGTTGGCTTCTAGTAAGTCCTGAGCAAGGATGTTGTAGGACATTACAGTGAAGTCCATAGTTGCATTTGTGAAGGGTATGAGTGCAGGCTCTGCTGAAGCAGCACTCTCATCCATCTCTACCCAGACTCTCCACATCACTGGAAGAAGGACAGATATACATGGAGCGGGTTACTGAACTGTAAATGAGTTGTTGTTTTTTTTAAAAAAAGTAAAAATATTAAATTAAAAACAAAATCTAGCCTTCATCCTCACCTTCCAAGGGAAGTGCTGGCTCTACAGGAGGGTAATAGCTCATAGAAGGAAAAGTTATAAGTGGGCACTGCACCTCTTCTGTGAGACCAGGTCCTGCAGGGAAGTGCCAGCTGGTTTGTGCATGGTGCTGCTCGCTGAGCTTAAAGTGGGCCTGAGGATGAGAGAGAAGGGAGGGAAACACTGTCTCGGAAATGCTGACTCCATCATGTGGCTCATCTGCAGCTGGGACTATGTATTCATCCCAGCACTCTTCAAAAGTAGTCTCTAACTTTTCCATGTATGGTATTTGGATTTGGTCTTCTGCTGAGCTGGTCATTTCGTGTGTGCTCTTCTTAACTGGAGATACAGACTCTCCCATAGCTTGTTTCTGTACTTGAAATGTAGTATCTTTTATGCTGTCTTCTGTCTGCAGACACTTTAACGGTTCTTCGAGTGCTTGCTCTGGCATCATCTCCTTTGCTGGTGAGATTCCCCCATTCTTTGCATCCATATGCAACAACTTATGGTGGGTAATTATTTCTCTATCCTCCTGTTTTGAATCTTGAAGGTTCTCCTGATTTGCTCCATGTCTCTTCCCAGCTTCTTCCTCTTTTACTTCAGATGGTACTTCTGAAGTAATGTTTGGGTTTCCGTCACTCATTGTATCTTTATCCGGGACAGCCGCTGGAGGTTCTTTGTCCATGTTGCTCCTTGTAGTTTTTTCCTCTTCCGGGCTTGGATCTTTTACCCTTTCTTTCGTTTCTCCCTTCGAACCACCGGTTGGGCGGAGCCGCTGCTCCAGCTGCTCTGTCTGCAAATCGGTGAACCTCCGGGTTTTGGCATCCCACGCAGCTTTGTCATTAACCACGGAAGGAGGGAGGCCCTTTTTTGAGGCCTCTGTAAGCCAAGAATACAGTAAGAAAGCAGGTATGCTAAAAAGTACTAAACCTTTTACTTTAAAAGGTCAACGACAACCCATGAAAACACAGCCGTGCTTACGGAACATAAACAACACCATAAAAGTCATGTGATAGCGTCTTTGTGTCACAAGGGGGCGTCAAGACCTCAAGAACAGGTGCAAGCTAACTCATGTAGCACTTCATAAAGTTAGCAACGCTGCAACAGCTAAATATGTTCTTCGTTACCGTTTTCACAAAGAGGAAACTTTTGGCAAATTGGGGACACCACAACGTGTGTCACACTGAGCTTATAACGGGAAACATTACCAAAAACCTCATGCCAGTGAAGCAGACAGCAAGAAAAGTGCTAACTAAACTTTAGCACTTTTAGCTCCAGGCAGCGTGTCTGGGGAAATACATACGTAGTTTTTTTTTCAGTCCGTATTTGCTCAGCCGACAATCATAAGTTCAGACACGTTTGCAAATCCACTGTTAGATTTACCTGAGGGTCGAACGGTCAGGTACCGTGATAAATAGTAGAGCACATAAAACATCAGACTGCCAATCATGTTGCGGTACAAAAATCAACGCATGCGCACTCCGAATTTGGTGATAGCTGTGGGAGGGTAGGGGCCTGAAGGCAAAAGTCACGTGTTTTGTTTTTCCAGTGTGTTACTTTCAGTTGTTACTTTGCGATAATCTGGTCTGGAAAAAAA